CTCTCTCTCTCTCACACACACACACACACACACACACACGCATATCCGTAACTCCATGAACATTCATATTACCCATCTCTTTTCTTTGTCAGCTCATCTCTTACTGGCAGTGGGTTGTATGTTCAAATATTTGGGGGAAGCTGATCACTGAAACAGAACTGTGTTTTGAGCATCTTCCCAATTTATCAAGAGTGGAAATGGGACACAAGTTCTGTTTATGGGGTACAATTCTTTCTCAGCTCCAACTGTTTGGTACAATTTGAATAACGACTGTTCTTAAAGTATTATGGCATAACAGTTGTGCTATTAACATCTTATTTTTTAAAAAATAGTGAGGTTTTCTGCTGGAAAATGGATAGCGTATATTGCTGAAGAAACACGATTTTCTTATTAGCAATGTATTTTCCAAATTTCCAAGTTGTGATAAATGTATACAATGAGATTCATTTTGTCTTCTTTCTGTGGTGTTTTATTTTGAAATCAAAGGCTACAAGAGGAAGATTAGGCTGTATATGATTCTGTGATCACTGTGAGGGATCTTAATTCTCTATACGAGTATTTCTCTCCTCTCCTCCACTTTATCCCCCACACCACAGTCACAATATACTGTGTATCAGTTCTTTTAAACCTTCCTTGCTTTTTCTCATATACTGGGAGCTGAACCAAGGGCCTTCACACAAAGCAACATACCCACGCCTTTCTAGACTGGGCTCCAACTTGCCTCAGCCTCCCAGAAAACTGAGATTGCAGACATGTACTATCACATCCTAATAAATCTTATCATTTCTTTTTTTTTTTTGGCAGAATGGGGGATTGAACTCAGGCCCTTACCCTTGCCAGGCAAGTGCTTATTCTACTGAGCTATCTCCCCGGCCCCAAATCTTACCATTTCTAACACTTCACTCAAATTCTAGCAATTCCTATCACCTACAGAACTGACCTAGTACTTCCTTACTTTAATCCACTCTCCTTAAATTTATCCTCCAATTCATTCCCAGAATGGTCCTTAGAAATGCCAAATGTAACTAGGTAGACCTTTCCTCAGAAATCTTAGTGGCTCACCACTGTCTCTGTGATAAGCTTCCAACTTTCTGCAAAGGCAAATAAGACTAATTTGATCTAGCAATCGTATGCTTCTATTGGTTTAATTCCTTCCACCAATTTTTCTGTTGTCCCTAAATTCTTCATTTCTGCTCTACATTTCTGCAGTGCTTACACGCTGTTTCTTTAATTTCGGATGCTCTCCACCCTGCCACAAGATAAACTCTTGTTCATCCCTCCAGAGCCAGCGGAAGCCTCTCCTCAGCGGTGCTTTCTCCCAATCGCGTCCTCAGTATGCTCACAATTTGACCTAGCATCTCGGTCACTATTTCACTACAGTTTATGTAGGATGACATCTCACTGCACTATTGGATGTTGAGCATCAATTATTGATTTCAGAACAGATCACCTACTTCTTAAATGAAAAATTACAACTTTCTGGTCACTAGGTCTTAGGATGGAGTATATGTTTATTAACATTCAACTTGTTGATGAACATAGTATTTTAAAAATACTGTGAAATGTGCCAAAATCTTGTATTCTTGTGCAGATACAAAGGCAGAGCAAGCAGACAGTAAGTTTTTTTCCTAGGAATCTCACCCTTGCCGCTTTCCTCTTCCCTTCTCCTTCCCATCCCACTTTTGTGAGGTTCTGGGGATTAAAATTAATATTTACACATGAGAGAACTGCTCTGCTTTGAGTTCAGTTTATGCTCCTCCTAGATATTTTGATTTTGGCTGCACTGCAAATATATACTTTGGTGTACATCAATAATTACAGAAATAAAAGTGGACAAGATATTCAATTTTTTGTAAGCATTGCAAGATTCAAAGATTAATTTTTAAATATCTTTGCCTTCTGGCTTCCAGATTTCAGCCTGTAGAGTATCACAATCACTTATTTCTTAAAGTGTTTATTATAGCAGTAGACTATGAACAAATTTTTATTTTTACTTTTTATCTATTTATTTATTTTGCCTTTTCAAGGTAGGGTTTCACTATGCGGTTCAGGCTGGCCTCGAGATCATGGTGATCTTCCTGCCTCAGCTTCCTGAGTGCTGGGATTATGGTCATGTGCCACCATGCCTGACTAGGCACTACAATTTTTTTAATGCAAATTGTTTTGTCAAAATTCCAGACCTCAGATCTTTACCTTGTACTTGAAGATAAACACAGCTGAACCTCAGAAATAAAGGTGCTTGATAAAGTTAGGTGACTTGGACTGTAGGAATTCCAAAATCCAGGACATTTTCACAGGCCTCCTACCCTACTAGCAAACAAACCTCATAGATACCTATTCTTGTCTTAAATAGACATCGTATAACAAAGCTACAGAAGCTAAGCAAGAATTTATGAAAAATTCAAATCAAATATTTCATTATTGAACTATGAAATTTACATTTAGTTTGATAAAATTAAACCATTCTATCAGCAATGTTTAGTGTATGTTCACAACTCTATTGAATTGAACCCCATCCTGGCATAATTGCTGCTATCTGAGGGGCATGTACAGGCCTGAATATGGTACCAAGTCTTAAAATATAAGGCTGGACCCTAAGGGAATCAGCCTTGATTAGGTTTCTCAAGTGTAGGACCTCTGTGCTCTAGGCAAGTCTTTGTGGAAACAACAGCAACTTCACAGAACTTTTGAAACACCATGTGAATTGTCCCATGAGTGTGCATTTTGCTGCAGAAGAGGTCCTTCAGAGTTTATTAGTCTTTCTGTATATAATACCCACAATGTTACGAATCCTCAGCTGCCATGATGATTATATTTATGTTTGGTGGTGTTGACATAAGAGTATTCGATAAAATAGCAAGTCATTTTATGTCCTCAGGTACAGCCACAGAGGAGGATTTTTAATTACTTCTCTTTTGTGTTTGCACGTTTTAAGTAAAACAATAACTTTTTTAAAAGTATCTTTTCTAGAATGGCAGGCTAGTAAATATATTATATGCGAAAGCAACAACTTGAAAGAAATGTGTAAAAATAGAATCTCTTTTCAATAATTGTATATACTTAGTATATTCAAAATAGTCATACTTTGGAGCTTCATAGATTTATTCTAACCCAGTACTTTGAGTAATAAGGTTATCAAAATTGTAACGTGGAGTAAGCCAAAGAGAAAAACTGTCTTTTGGTTTCCAGTTCAGTTTTTCTTTCTCTCATGTTAGGAACAAAAGATCAAAAGTTTAATTCTAAATTTAATCAGGCTAATTAATCAGAAGATATATA